GGGCAGACACTGTACGGTGGGGGTGCTGGTGACCCTGGGGATGCAGGGGGCATGAGAATCAAGGTCAGGGGCTGTGAGCTCCTCCCTGCTCCCCCCAGCTCTTCATAACTCTAGTGCCTTGAGGCAGTATCCAGGGCATATCAGAGACTGGAGGCCTGCAGGGAGACCCTCTTCAACCCAATTCACTGGTTGTGGTGTTGTAACCCCAGCCTCCGTGGCCACCCCAAACTGATAACTCACAGTGATGACATCCAGGATGCTCAGAAGGCTGTTGACGCTGTCTCCGGGGACCACTTCCTTCACCACACACTCCTTCCCATCCTGTAACACATGAGAGTGGGAGTCAGGGCAGTGGCCAGGGCTGCCAACCAGCATTTCATCTCCAACCACAACACTGGCCCTCACACTCACCCAGTGATCACTGATGCCCTGATCTCTGACCCCAATGAACCTTCCGACCAGCACCCATTTCTTGGCCATAACTAACTGCCCAACCCAGATGCCCTTGGGCATCTGTTCCCAACTCCTGTCTGCACATCTCAAACGGCCACCAACCCTACTGACCGACAGCAGTGCCTGTCCCCAGTGGCCACTGCATCACTGCCTATTTCCGTGCAGTCCCCCCTTGGGCAGCCCACTTACAGGCCCTGGCAGGCAGAGCTCCAGCAGCCCGTCTTGCACCACGTAGATGCTGGCATCTGGCTGGCCTGGTCGGAAGACGTAGTCACCCTGGCTAAGCCGCTGGAAGATCATGTGCCGGCAGAGCTCCAGAAAGAGCGGCTTCTCGAAGTGGCCCAGCACCCTATTGCATGGGGGAGGGGAGGAGGAATGCAGGAGGTCAGATCAGCACCCAGCTCTGCAGCCCCCAACCTGCAACCTGACACTGACCGGACGTTCTTGAGCATGTAGAGCACCTCGGAGGGCAGGTGGGAGTTGGCCAGGTCACCCTCTGTCAGGTCAGCCTCGAGCACGGCAGGTGGGGGCTCCTTCCGCTGCAGTGTTGGAGTCTCTTTCTGGATACGTAGGATCCTGGTGGGAGGAGAGAGGTATGGGGGGAGCAGGGAGAAGGTACAGGCAGACCTAAGACCCCCACACATCCTTTCCCCCGGGTCACACAGAACAGGGGTCAGCAAATTCTGGCCTACTGGCCAAATCAGTCCCTCTACTTCTTTTTTGTACATAAAGTTTTATTGGCACATAGGTACATTTATTCATGTACATGTCTGTGGCTGTTTTCATGCTAAAACAGCAAAGTTAAATAGCGATAGCAGAGTTATATGCGGCCTGCACTGCCTAAGATGTTTACTATCTAGCCCTATACAGAAAAAATTTGCTGATTCCTGTAAAACCCCAAGATCATCTCTCCACTAGTCACAGGGCCTTGAGATGGATCCTCTAGTTAGACCCCTGACATAGCTTCCAAGACACGGGAAGACCTTAGAAAAACACCTCTGTTTGTCATGGGACCCCTGACATAGTCCTTCCAGTAATCACAGACCAGACTCCTGAGATAGCCTTTCTAATGTTGGCAGACCCCTAGAGTAACTTCCATTATATGAGACCTCAGATACAGGCTCTGTTTTTTATTCTTTTAAAAATATATCTTTATTGATTTCAGAGAGAGGAAAGGAGAGGGAGAGAGGGAGATAGAAACATCAATGATGAGAGAGTCATTGATCGGCTGCAGCCCACAACCTGGGCATGTGCCCTGACCGGGAATTGAACCCCAATCGCCTGGATCCTAGGTCGACGCTCAACCGCTGAGCCACGCCCGGCTGGGCGGGGCTGTTTTTTATAAGATCCCTGAGATAACCCTTTCTCCCAGGTCTCAGAGAACCCTGAAATAGCCCCTTTGATGGTCACAGAAACTCTTGAGATAGCACTCATTACATGTGGAGAATCTAGATATAGCCTCTTTGCTATTCATGGACCTGGGAGAGCCCTTCCCTGCAAGTCAGTTTCTACTGATAGCCCCTGTACTGGTCACAAGATACTTGAGATAGACCCTCTAGCATGAGCAGTTCCCTGAGTTAAACTCCATGATATAGAGAAATCCAGATATAGCTCCTCTTCTAAACAGGGAGGTACTTGGGCTAGCCCTTCCCCAGGCCACAGATTCCTGAGCTAGCCCTCTGATAGTCATGACATTAGGGTAGCTCTTCAAGGATGTGCAGACACTGAGATGTGGAGAGACTCAAGATACAGTGTCTGATCATGGAGAACTAGAGACTGTCCTTCTCAAGTCACAGAAAGTCCTGTGATAGGACATATATTGGTCGTGGACAGCCCTGGGACGCCCCCTTAGTGTGAAAACACCCTTGAGACAGACCTTCATGTCTCATGAAGTGAGCCCCATGATGTCAGGAGACCCCAGAGCCAGCTCCCAACTTAGAAAGATCCTTGGAAAAGCCTTCCTCAGAGGCTCTGAGAAAGTCCTTTGCTAACGACAGGCACCCCTGAGACATCCTTCCTATGTTTCTAGTGCAAGAAGATTCTTGAGATAATTCCTAGGAAACACAATCCCTTACATAGCTTCCTTACTGTGAAAAGAACTCCAAGGTAAGTGACATAAAGAGATGTTTTCTGATGTAGCAAGACTGCTATGATTACCCTTGGATAACAGAAGCTACAGATAGCCTTTCCAGCTGGTCACAGAAATACCTGAGATAACCCTAATGAGGAACCTCTTGTGTGAGGAGACCCATGAAATAGCTTACACAGAAACTCCCCTACTATATGGCCAGGTGTCAAGAGATATTGACTGAAGAGCAAATAGCTCATAGGTACCTCAGGGAGAGATATCACTAGTAGGGGAATATCACTGAGATAGCCCCTAGGGGATAGAGAGACAGAGACAGCCTGTCTGGTATGGGGGAGCTCCGGGACAGCCTCCCTTATGTGGGAAGACTCCCCAAACAGTGCACGGGCTTGAAAGAAACTCGAGATAGATGGGTTGATCACTCCAAAGGCCATGAGGTAGCCCCCAGAACCAGGTATACTTAGCACAGCCTTACTTCTTGGCAATGTTCAGCATCTTCAGTTTCTTCTTCATGCGTGGCCTGGAAGTGGTGGAGACGGAGGTGTCCACCAGGGAGGAAGTGGACTGTGACACCTAGGACAATTAAGGGGTGAGGCTAGGTCAACTGCCAGCTCAGGTCCTGGGGAAGTGGGGTTTCCTCAAGGAGCAGGAGTTTACAAGAGCTGTAACTAAGTCCAGGGCAGGGCTCCTGTGCGGTCAGCCGGAGCCTCAGCTGGTCCTAGACTCACCTTCCGCATAATCTTCCGGCCATAGAAAAGCACTTTGTCCCTCTTCCGGAACCGATACCGCGGGCCCTCGGGGGCTGGGGTTTCTGGGGTAAGGGGAGAGGGGCGCCCTGAGCTCCGCGGAGTCTCCGCGCGGCCGGAGGCCGCCACACCGCGTGCGGACCCCAGCAAGTCCAATCTCCACCGCCTCCGAACCCGCGCTTCGGCTCCCCCCACGCAGCCTCCCCTGAGGGGCCCTCCGGGTCCTCACTCGGCACTCGAAGCCTCCGCACTAGCAGGAGGATGAGCACGGCTGTGACCAACACCGCGACTCCGGCCCCGATCATCACGCCCAGCACCTGCGGGACGAATGGCACGGGCTGCGCATCGCATACCCGCCCCGCCGAGCCCTTCCCGGGGGCCAGGACGTCCTGGACTCCATCCCACTGAGCCACGTCCGCCCCCGAGAAGTTCTCAGCGGCCCGTGGCCTCTGTGTCCCCATCTGCAGAATGGGCCAGCGCGACTCCCTCCCGAGGAGGGGGTGGGGGCCGGCGCGACTCTTCTTTGCGGCTCCGCGGCCTGCGCGCGGTGCACGCCGGGAAACATAGTTCCGCCAGAACACACACCGCCCAGTTCCTGCGGGGCTGCGCTGAGCACGCCGGGAGTTGTAGTCCCCACAGCGCCTCACGGCCCCCGATCTTTACCATCCCAGTTTGCAGCGGGGCGTCCATCAGCTGTTTCTGGCTGGTGGTCCACAGGTGGTCCACAGGTTTGGTAGTCCTGAGTCCTAGGAATCTAGAAGCAGGACGAACCTGTCACTCTGGGCCCGCCCCGTCCCTGCCACAAGCCCAACCCTTTCGTACCGGCTGCCTCGGCGGAGGACCGCTAGAGGTGCGCTGCGGCACAGAGGGGTGGGGCAAATTGACCCCCGGGTGCGGCTAGGGAGTGAGGCGTGTCTCCCGCTCCCCGTCTTGCTCTCTTCACCTATGCACCGTGCGGACCAGCCGCTCCACCTGTCCAACTGCCACCCTAGGGCCAAAGGGCAGCCGGCCAGGCACCCACTGACAGCAGCCAGTGCACGTAACCGGGGATGCTGGCATTACTGGGGGCACTGGAAAATTACTGAGATTCTGGGAAAAACGGAGCTGGGTGGGCACGTCCCTGGGGGTTCGAGCGTAAGAGCGGACCTAGGGAGGGCGCCCGGGCTCCTTGGAGGATACTGAAGAATGCTGGAATATTACTGGGACTTTTCTGGGAGGCTGAGAATGTTTCTGGCTTTGCTAGAGTATTAGTGGGAATTTAGAGTAATAACTGGACCCTTGAGACATTACCTGGAAAATTCATCGGGGTGGGGAGGACTAGTCCCCTTCCACACTAGGGCGCACCTAGCTACCAGTGCGGTAACACTTGCGGGAAACCAGGGGAATGAGAGCATCAGGAGGTCGGGGGCTTGGGAAAGCTGAGGACTCGCTAACTACTCTCGAAGGAACGGCCGGAGGGGGTGATGGAAACCCGGACTCACCCAGAGGCCGCAGCCCGGATCCACTGTGCGCTAACACCTCTAGAGTTCCGCCCAGCACACCACCACGGGCATGGCCCCTTTAAGTTATTCGCCAAAAGGCGCACCGAAGCCCCGCCCCGTGCCATGCTGGAAAGTCTCCAGGAGCCAGCGGCGCAGAGCGTAGCAACGCCTTAAAGGGGCTGAAGACCAGTTGGCTCAGGGAAGGCCCCTCCCACTAAAAATGTGAACAAGACGTTTATTTTCCTGTTTTATTTAATATCCACCCTACCCCTGTCCCACCCCAGTGTCCGATTCAACTGGCCCACACCTTCACAGGGTGCTGCAGAGAGCCAGTCCTCAAAAGCAAACCCTAAAAATAAATAGGCAAGGATCTCCCCAGTCCAGGGTCCTGGGGCTAATGTCCAGTGGCAGTCGCGGTCCGGGTCAATTCACCAGCAGCGAATTCTCCTCGGCATCATCCCTAAAGGAGGGAGTGTGTCAAGCGGGAAGGAAGGCAGCAGTTCCCTCTGGCACCTCCCCTTCCCCCAATCCCAACCTGGATTCGAACCTGCTCCTGCCGCAACAGCAGAGGCTGCAAGCTGAGCCTCTCCCGCTGCGGAACTTGCCAGAGGTAGGGCTGTCCTGGCACTGCGCAATGTAAGCCTGGAGGTCGCTCTCCTCCGTGCCTGCACCGCCGGGGTGCTGAGGAGAGATGCAGGGTGGCCAGCATGAAAAGGGCCCATTGAGATCTGCCCTCCCCTCCACCTCCTCTCCAGCCATCTGGGTCTCTTTGCTGTTCCTCAAAGACCAAGCAGGCACCCACCCTTGGTCCCTGTTCCTCCTGGTTTGATTCCAGAATGACCCTCCCTGACTCCTGAATGTGTGCACATCCCACATCTTGGTCACTTGGTGCCATACTTACGTCCTCAGTGGGAGTGAACATTGTAGCTTTCGGCTGAGCCTGAGCCTTTCCCTTCCCCACCTTGTGGAGGAGCCACCATTTCCTCTCCAAGTTCTTTCTAGGCCTTTGCTCCAGGTGTTCTTTCCCCCTGGGGCTCCCTTACTTGGGATCCTACCTCTTCAATCTAGAAATTCCTGAGATGACAAATGCTTGATTCTATGGTGTTCAATCTGGAAGCCACTAGCCACACTGGCTCCTGGGCACTTGATATGTGAATGGTGTGAGTGAGGAACTGAATTTGGAATTGTATTTCATTTCAATTAAAATCAAAATTTAGCCCTGGCCACTGTGGCTCAGTTGGTTGAGCATTGTCCCATTGTCTCTGGTTCCATTCCTGGGTCAGGGCACATGCCTGGGTTGCAGGCTCCATCCCCACTAGGGGGCAGCCAATTCAATCAAAGATGTTTCTCTCTCTCCCTCTCCCTTCCTCTCTAAAAATAAAATCAATAAAAACATTTTTAAAAAATCAAAATTTAAATAGTCCCATGTGGTCAGACATTAGTATTGAATAGCATATTCTAGAAAGTTTCCTTCCTTCATAATTCTCACCAGTCGGTCATCATACTTCTGTTCATGCATCATCCATCTTGGCCACTGGCCCTGGACAGACTGTGTACACCTTGCCTTGTTTCCCAGCACAAGTCTTAGCTCACAATAGGCCCTTGGACATGCTGGCTAAAAGAATCCTATCTATCTGCCACCCCACATTCTGCTCTGGCCCCTTTCTCTCTTCTAATCCCCATAGCCTGCAGAACCACGGCTCCCCAGACCCAAACAACTGCTGCCCTAGCGATCCCATAAGACAGAGGACTTAGAAGCAAGGCTTCCTGGGTTGAGCCTGGTTTCACCACTTAGTTGCTGACCTTGGGTAAGTCACTGAAACTATACGACCTGGTGTCCCTGTTGGTAAAAGCAGACTCGAGAACCCTACCTGGCCAGTGACCCACCTTGATCAAACTGAGAATACGGCAGCTGTGTCCATGACATCAGTTCTGCCTGTGACCCCTAATTCCGAGCCACCATCTCCTTTGGCTTTGCAGAGTCTCCCACATTCTCTCCCTGGGTCCTTCTCTCCTCACCCGGCCGTGTCCCCTGAGACCTCGCCGTGGCAGCCTCGAAGGGACACGGAACCCAGACTGGAGCTATATGTGATGCGGGTTGGCCCTATGGGGAGGCAGGCTGACCTTGATGGTGTCGTAGGCACCAGTGATGAGTGCGATGAAGAGGCTCAACACCATGTAGATGAAGAGGCTGATGAAGGAGTAAAGGTAGATCTGGGAGAAGAGCCAGACGAGGCTGCTGCGGCCCTGCTGCGTCTGCATTGCCGCAAATGTCACGAACATGTCATCCCCATTGATGAGTGAGAATAGGCACTCCGACACCATGGACAGCGAGCGGAACTGTGGCCAGGCAGCAAGGTCAGTGGGATTGTAGGGACAGAAGGGGCTGGGCGGGGGCGCCAGGGGTCAGAGGGGACAGCAGAGTACCAATAGTTACAATGGGACCACCTGGGGGTCACTGTGTGATGATAAGGTCAAAGGGTCAAGGCCAGGGTTACTGGGGTCAGAGGGACAGTGGGCAGAGTATCGGCAGTTACAATGGGGTCTTTTAGGGATCATGTCAATGATAAGGTCATAAGGTCAGTGTGGGCAGAACCACTGCAGACCTGTTGGTAAAGTACTGGGGGTCACTCAGTGTGGCCAGGTCAGTAACAGAGAAGCCAAGGGTCTGAGGGCTTGGGATGTAGGTTCAGGGGAAGGGTGCCAGGGAACCTTCTCCTGTGGGTCATGAGCACCTCCCAGCAGCCCTTGCTAGCCCCTACCTTCACGTGGTAGGGCCCCAATACAATCCAGCCGCAGAAGCAATAGCCCAGGTAGATGACAGCCACACAGCAGCAGAATCGCATGACGCTGGGCAAGGCCACCCGCAGCGTGGCGATGAGGATCTGCAGCGGGCAAATGGCTGATGAGGGCATGGCCACAACCCTGGCTGGCAGTGCACATGGGGTGAGCAGGCAGGGCCTGGCTGAGGGCACAGCTAGGGGAGCTGAGAAGGGGTAGCCTGGAGCTGAGGATGCTCCGTGACTGTACTCAGCTGTATGGCTATGAGGGGGCAGGCTCATGTGGCCCCTGCTCAGATTCAGTGACAGGTACATCCGTGGTGGACAGGTATAGGACTTAAAGGCTCGTGATGGGTCATCTGCAGGGGCTGGTGATTGCCGCATGGGTATGAATTTGGGAAGTGGGAATTGGGGGACATGTGGCCACCACCCGGAGGGAGGCCTACGCACACAGGCTTACGTTGTAATTATGGAAGAAGGTCAGGTAGCGGATGACACCAACCCAGACGAGCAACGTTGAAGTGCCCAGGAGGATGCTGCAGATGTCGTAGCTGGCCAAGTTCTAGGGGTGGGAGCAGTGTCAACCCCATCTGGCTGGGGAATGTGGCCCCAGATGGGCATCAGTGGGGGCAGTATAGAGGCCAAGGTCTGGAAGGGGCTGCCAGGGCCAGGGGCAGGGTGTGGGCAGGACCCACCTTAGCTTCAATGCCGATCTTCATGATAGTGCCCGAGATGGTGAGCACGTCACTGGTGACCAACAGGATATACCAGCCGTTGACAAATTCTAGCCGCTCCCACAGGCTGATGGCCCGTCCTCGCTGCTGCCACATGAACCCCACAAACTCCTGCAGGAGGCAGGTGGGGTGAGGGCTTCTCCAGGCACAGGAGCCTCTCACCACCCCTAGCCCTTATGGGCACAGTGACACTGGGATGGTTCTTACATTCTGCAGCAGGAAGCCCCGGAGCAGGGAGCGGGCACACAGCAGGAAGGAGAGGGAGCAGGTGAGCATCACTACCACATCAAACAGGAGCCGGAAGCTGTTGTCTCCTGTGGGGAGCGGGCCTTGGCTAGAGTCAGGGAAGCTTGGGGCGTTTGGAGGTCAGGGCTGGGGCTGGGCCAGACCAAGGCGACTGCAGGGCTGGTCTGGGTTGATCAGTGGGCTCATGGGTTATTCTGAGTCAGAAGCTCAGTCAGTGCTGGTATGGGGTTCAGAGGATCCCTTGGCAGGTCAGGGTCCCTGGTTGATACTGGGCTGGGGATTGAGGGCTCACCATGCCTGAAGACGCTGGGGTGCTTACACTCCTGGATGTGAGCCTGGGTCTCCAGGCTGATGGGGACACGCCCGCTGTATGCCTTATTGTCAAACGTGATCTGTGGTGGGGTGCAGAGTAAGTCTTGGCAGGCCTAGGCTCCCAGACCCGCATGCTGGATGGCCTGTCTAGCCCCAGCTTCTCCATCACCCACATGCTGCCCTTGGTCAAGGGTCCTCAGCCCTAGAGCTCAGAAGTCCTATGGTACCATCCCCTGCTCCCCACCCCAGATCACCAGGGGGGAGGGGGGTCCATACACTTGCCCTGGACACCGTGAGCTCACCAGGATGCTGAAGGTATAGCAGTCTGGGATCTCATTGTTGATCAGGCTTTGAAGATTGATGGTCTTCAGCTGGAAGTGGATGGTGACGTTGATCAGCCTAAGGGGAGGGGTCCGGTGAGGGGGAGGGAGCTCCATAGCTCCCTCGGGCCCTAGAATGCCAACACTCCTGCCCCATGCTGACTCTGCAGCTGGCAGAAGGAAGTGCTCACTCAGCAGGCATAAGCCTGGCCTGCCCCTGCCCCCACCTTCAGGGAAGTGGCTGCCAGGGGGACCCCAAGGATACCTGGCCTCCTGCCTCCCCCAACCCTCTGCCAAGCCTTGGGGTGGCCCCCTCCATCAGGCAGTACTTGTGGAATTTGAGCGTGAGGTTCTTGTAACTGGCGCTGCCATCCATGGGAGAGAAATCATCATTGGGGGGCACAAGGGGTCTCTCAGGGGGGTCCACCAGGATGCAATCTGAGGACAAGGAGGCAGGAAAGGGGCACAGGATTGGGGAGGCATAGGGAGGTCTCCCAGAGTTCCTGAGAGACCCCTTTCCTGATTCACTTTGTACTCGAACATTTGTTATTTGTGCCCCATGTCTCCCCAGGGTAGGGCCCAGTATGTCTATTCCCTGCACAGACCCTAGGGCCTGGAGCTCTGTAGGCCCCCAAATGTTTAGTGAATTAATGATATTAAACATAACACCTAGCACTTTCTACATGTCAAGCATTCTTCTAAACCCGTTGCATACATCAAGTTATTAATACTCAAGATAACCCATCTAGATGAGAGAGAGTAGAGCTGGGATTATAATCCCAGCAGCCCGGGGCCCCCAACAGCTCAGCCCTGCCTTGTCCACTCACCAGTGACGACCATTGGGTCAATGTCAAAGGTGTCATTGGCTGGGTCCACGTGGCCACGGTGGTAGTACCGCTGGCAGAGGGCCAGGGCTGAGCCATTGGCCCAGGGGCCACCCCCGCCCTGTACATATGCGTAGCGGCCCAGCGACACATCAGGGAGCATCAGATACTGTGGGCAGAGAAGGAGAGGGTCCATCAGCCCCCACCCCCCAGCGCCTGCCAACCTGCCCACCTGCCCCTGGCTGCCCCTACCTGGTCCACAGCGTAGAAGATAGCCTGGTAGAGCTGCTCCTGTGTGTAGGCTGCGAAGGTGTCATCTGCCCCATCAGAGTAGCCCAGAAGGAAGAGGTGGCGGAAGGCGATGGTGTTCTCCTCTCGGAATGTCACTGCCAGCTGGTTGCTGAGCCCGAACAGGATGAGCTGGTGGGAGGGACAGGGGGGCGACACTGCTGGATGGGCCCTCCCTCGATGCTTGAGTGGAGGAAAAGGACCCACACCATGGAGGCACATGTCCCCATTTTCCATGCCCACCAATACATAGCACATAGTGGGCACCCATATACCTCAGGGTAGCAACTAATGTTCATGAAATGTTTACCTGATGCCAACTTCCATGCTAAACCCAAACCTATAGGGTAAGTACCACAGTGCTAGGTTCCTTTACCAAGGGGAAATTAGAAGCAGGAACATGCCCAAAGTCACAGCGCCGTAGGGCAGGGGCAGGGTCTGATTCATCTTGGAATCACTAGACCCCAGCACAGGGCCTGGCATGGAAGGGGGGCAACCATCTGTTCAGCCACTGGGTCAGTTCTCTTTGAGAGTCAACATGGCATCAGACTGCCTGGGTTCAAGTGCCAGCAAATCCCAATGCTTGATTGCTATGTGACTTTGGACAAGTCCCTAAACCTTGCTGAGCCTCAGCTGCCTCATCTATAAAATGGAGGCATGTGTGAGGTCAAAAGGAGCTGCTCACATACAGCTGAGGATTTTCTGATTTATTACTGCCATTGTTACTGTCATGCTGCTGCAGGATCAGGATGGAGGTTCCAACTCCCAGACTCTCCTTCAAGGAAAACAGTGGCCACAGGCAGCATTCTGCTGGGGCTCCCGCAGGTCTCACCTGCACAGTGACTACCAAGATCTTAACCACTTGCAGCATCAGCTTAAAGGGCTTGCGACCCTTGGCCCGAAATTTGTCACAGGGACTCATGAAGAAGTACTTGAGCCGGCGGCGGAGGTCTTCCTCTTCCACAGGGGTTGAAGGGGCTGGCGAAGCCCCCGCCTGGGTCCCATACCCGAGGCTGGGGCTCAGGAGGTGCTCGGTCTCTGTGGGAATGGGAGAGAGCAGTAGGGATCAGGCCCAGGGAGGCCCACCTCCCAAAAGGGAAGGCAGATCCCACATTCCAGCCAAAAAAGAATTCTGGGAGATCTAAGAAAATTTTAAAATCTACCATATTTTATGGATATATGCAGCAGTGCTGCTCAGAGTTTGCAAATTCAGGTTTGGTACTCAAAAGGGCCTGAGTTGATTCCTGACCCCGATCGATGCTCACTGGCACAGACAGGGCACCCAGGCTCTCTGGGCCTCAGTTTCTCATCTGCAAAATGGGGTAATAGCATCTCTCACAGGAAGTTGAGGATTTGATGCTTACAAAGTATTTATTGCAAGGGTTGGTAGGTGGTAAGAATGTCAGGACACTCCGCCCAGTTGGGAGTGGCTCAGGGGTTGAGCATGGACCTAGGATCCAGGAGATGGTGGTTAGATTCCTGGTCAGGGCACATGCCTGGGATGCAGGCTCGATCCCTAGTCGGGGGCGTGCAGGAGGCAGCTGATCAATGACAACTCTCATCATTGACATTTCTATCTCTCTCTCCCTCTCCCTTCCTCCCTCTGAAATCAATAAAGATATATATTTTTTAAAAATGTCAGGACATTCCATCATTGTTCCTGTTGATTTGTGGGGAGAGAATGAATTACTTCCACTGGCTTCTCACAGGTCACTCAAGGCTCCTGGGCCCATCCCAACACCAGCCCTCAGGCAAGAACATGGAACTCAGCTACATTCCAGTATTTTCTGGACAAACCCCTCCCGAACTCATCATGACCTGGTCTGTCCAGCTGATACTCTCACAAGCCCTGGAGAAGGGAAGATCAACAATTACAGTAATAAGGGAATGCTTTTGCTGAAGAGTCACTGTGATTACAGCACTGCCCATTTGTCAGGTTATGGGCTAATACGGCATCTCCATTAAAGCTACCAGCTCCTGGAAATCACATAGCCCTACGACCAAATCCCAGACCTGTCACTTCCTGGTTGGGGGACCCCAGGCACCTTTCTAAGTCTCAGTCTCCTCATCTGAAAACTGGAAAGAAAAAAAAAGTCTCCCTCTGAGGCTAAAACCCTGAAAACACTTCCAGAATAGAGTGAGACAAAGCAGCTCAGCCCAAGTCTCAGTAATGCTTCAGGAAACCGAGGCTATTTTAAGCACCGCCTATTCCCTTCAATCAGGAACAACCTAAGAGGAAGGTCCAATGTTTTGGCAGCTGCAGGGGTCATAGCCGGTCACTGCAGCCCAGAACTGTCCCTAACACCGCCCGCCCCTCCACCAGGAGAACCCAGCTTCTTTCCAGGGCCTGGCTTCCAGCCCCCCCGCCACCACCACCACCAAGATGATTGTGGGCACTGTCAGAACCTGTTCTGCAGGGAGGGCCAGCTCCTGACTGGTCCCTTTGGACCTTGGATGCTTTTGCAATTGTTTACAAGAGAGCTGGTTGGAAGCCGGCGGGTAGGCCTGCCTCTGCAGCTGTGATCATAGCTAACCTACCCCAGACCCTACCAGGTGAGACACGTTTTGGTGTCTTCAGTAGCTCATATAGGGAAGACCAACAGAAAGGGTCTTTCTCCAGGCTCCCCCATGAGAGGGGCAGACTGAAGACACTGGAAGCTGGGCACCCAACGCCTGAATCCAGGAAAGCTGAGCTTCCACGGGTTTGGAGATCTGAAATTGAGTTAGGCGGCTAGGCTCAAGGAGGCAATGCCCCCCAATCCTCAGCCTGCGTTTAGAGAAGCATTAACCTCCTGGTTTGGGGAAGGAAATCCTGGAGTCTCGTGCGGGTTGGAGAAACTGGTGCCCGCTGTGCTTCAGCAAAGTTGAGCAATCGCGACCTAGGCTCAGGCTGGGAGCCTCGCCGCCCCGAGTCGGAGAAGCTGGTGCCCCCCCGCCTCCCAGGCTCTAGGAGCCTTCTGCCCACACGGGAAAGCTGGGAGTCAGCCCCGGAGTTGGGGAAAGGGAAACGGGCTATCGGCCGCCGCGCGTGCGGGCTGCTGCCAGC